CTCATCAACAAATATGAAATTCATCACGCGAAGTCCTTCAGTGTCAAATGCCTCCCATCGTTTTAAAACCTTGACCTTTATTTTCCAACCATCCTCCCAAGATTGTAACTCATGAATCATTTGGTACTCACGCATTGTGTTTGTCTATTGGATTTAGATGAATAAATTAGGCTGTGAAATAGGTTTATATAGGAGTAAGTTAGTATTTTAAAAATGGTACGTTCCGAAAATATTTGAGTAGATACGATTGAATAGAAAAAGATTCGAAACTGTTAGTGATTTAAAGAAACTGTATATTGTTAGGTGGATATTATATGCCATAATTAAACGATTGTGGATCGTTTTTTAGAATTTAAAATTTTAAAAATTTAGTTTTTGATGCAAAAAAATATATTATACAGATCACAGATTCCATATTAGGAAAACAAAATTTAAAAATCTAAAAGGCAATTTTTTAGGAAACAAATATCTAATCAGATATTTAGGATGTTATGGGTTAGCTCGAGTAGGTAAGGCCGTAAGGAAGATGATTATACAATATATAATCAGATATTCAGGATGATGAATATAAGGAATTAGTTTTCCTAATATAACTTTTTGCTATTAATATTATAATACTATCATATCCCAATTATATCGGCAAACTAATTATACTGTTTTCCAAAAGTAGAATTATAAGAAGGCAAAAGATTCGAAATGTAACACAACTTTCTGTATTTTTAAATAATCAAAAATTTAAACAAAATATCGAAAATAATTAAATTGGTTAATATGTAACCAAATATTTACCTCGTTATAGAATTAGGTATGTATACGAATTTTTAAAGATATATTCATTAGTACAAAATTTATTAGTTTATGGTTTAAGTTAAATCGAAAGTATTCATAAAAAAAATAAAGTTCAAATTAGGTGATACTGATAAAATAACAATGCAAACATGGTCCTAAGTTAATTAGTTTCATTTGTTTAGTATAATTTAAAATCTGATTAAACCATGCAACGATTATGTGAAAATAAAATAGATTTCAAATCATAACTTAAAAAGATAACAGCAAATATTTAAAATTAAACAAAATCCGAAATAAGTGTAAGTCTTAACATTCAATAACATAGGAGGACATCACTCCTTTAGATTAAAGTCTTAAAAAAAAAAGATAGATATTAAGATAAGATAGAGATGGGCCGAACTAAGCATTCCTTGATCCAGAAGATGAAGCATTGTGGGCCGAATCCCTCACCTTTACCCACATCATGAACAAAAACATAAATAAAACATAAATAAGTATAAGTATATGAATCAAACGTTTTATACATGTAATAAGTAAACAAATAAAATTATTACTTGGCCCGTAGAGTGTAAACTTCATCGAGTGGTGGATGAACCAAGAAACGTGATAGCTTTCCTCCTTCATAATCATTGATAGTAATTTCATCTATATAAACAAAAATTCATTATATTACAATTATATCCAATCCATTATAATATATGGTACAAAAAAACACTAACTATATGATATTACTTACTGAAGCTTTTCTTCACCATCCAATCAGTAAATGCACATATGGGAGTTGGTCCATTCAGTATCTCATCGTTAGATTTTTCCTTTATATAATAGGCCAAATCACCATGTGCAACACACTTAAGTGTATTACCCCTAAAAATGGGAAAAAATTAATATTAAAAGACATTTAAATAATAAAACAAAATATTTAACTTAAGAATGACATTACTCGATATCAGTGATACGAAAATGCAGAGTTGGAACTGTTTTCCCATCGTTACCAATATCTTGAACAATATCTCCGATATTCTTGTCGAAAACACCAAGCAAATCTGTATTTTAAACAGATAAATGATTGCATGTCTATTTTTACTTAACATAAACCTTTTTATGAATACATGCAAACTACTATGAAAATATTGCATTTTACAAAAATTACAAATAATAGTAAAAGAGAACTAACCGATCGGATAATAGTGAGAATAAAGACGGTTGTGAACACTCGCAAAATCAACGAAACTGATGAAAGGATCGTCCGTTAATGGTCTGATAGAATTCACCTTTGTTTTCTGAGAGAGGATGATTTTGTAAGCATGTTTAGTGGATCTATCATTCCACCGGGAATTAGCTAAGCCAAACTGGGAAATCCGAACCCAAATTCGTTCTTGAAAGACATGTTGAAAATATGAGAGTTGCGCTTCATCAACGGTAGCAGCAACTCGAGATCCCTAGGGTAAAAAAAAAAATTAACAAATACACAACAAAGAGACTTTACAAAAATAGATAACTTATTTTTTGAAAACACAAAACTTACACTTTCATCAACCAGGATGAAATACATCCCATCCTTTCCGTTTGAATCAACAGTCTCCCAACGCTTGAGAACTTTCACGTTGATGGTTTGCTTGTATTCCTCCCATGGTGTTAAATCACTAACCATTTGATATTCGGCCATCTTTTTTAGTCAGAGATATTGATGTTAATTTTGTAGGTTTTCTCTTTGTGAAGGATGAAGTTATGGAAGAACAAAGTTCCTTTTATATATAGAAGACATAGACGGTTAACTACTCTAAAGTCGCGATTGTTTGTAAACATTTAAGTGTAGTAAATACAAAAATGGTTCATTTAATTTGTTAAAAAAAGGAATAAGTTCACCGAATATATTTCAATCGGTGTAAGATGTCAGTAGATGTCTCTGTTTATATTCCGGATGCATAAAAAGGAAGTTACAGATGTAAAGATATAAGTATACATCTATCAAATCACATGAATATTTATGCAAACTTTCAACTACTATATTTATTCATGTTTGTAAACTTCATAAACTATATGTTGCGAATCCAAGGGATATAACATTATAAATGTGGCGACTATTTTTATTTCCTACAATACTTATAAACCATATACTATAGTATTAGTAATTAAGATATTATATATATTAAAGGAAGATGTCATTAGTGTATAAAATATATATAGATATGAACTTTGAAAAGTGATATTTATGTTAGTAAAGTTTCCTCAATCTAAATATATACATGCAAAAATATATATTTATGAAAATAGCACTTAACAAAAGCTGTAATCAGATATCGATCAAATCAATTCAATATCTTCACTTTGCATGCACAGGTCATAAAATTAAGTATTCAGCAAAAAACCAACTACCAAACGATATTAAAGTAGTTGTTACTAAATTTTTAACATAGAAACTTTGACTTCAAATTTTCTATGCGTGATTTTGCGTTCTTGATTTTTTCAAACTTAATTATAATATGAATACATATGCAATTACGACCCTATAGATAGTTTAACTGAACGTTAAATCAGTATATTTAAGATTCAATATCATATTTGAAAATATGTAGTAATAAAAATTCACACATTTTAAACATAATAGATAAATTATGGTTACTACATATTTAATAGAAAATTCATAAAAAGTAAGAATCTCCAATATTTAAAACATCACATAATATTCATTGTAGATAAAAACATAGAAACCAATATGGAATAAATTGCAAATTTAATAAGGAATAATATAATAGTCTAAAAAATGTAAAGGTGCTTATGGGAAATTATAGGTTGATTTGTGCTTGTGCTCGAATATAACCACTTGCAGTTATTATAAATTCTGTCAAATGAAAAAAAAAATAGTGAGTAAGCAGAAAAATTATTGACTTCGAATAAATATAAAATTTCTATTCTATTAACTGAGTACATACAATACTTACTATCATTACTAATGGTAGATACATCTAATTCTTGGAGACTGGTTTTACAAACTGCATCAATAGAGTTCTGATATTTCATTAACATGCATGGTATGAAACAATAGTATTAAATAAATATAATTTAAATACCTTCGACATATCTGATAGGAGTGATAGTTGTAGAAATTATGAACTGAATATTGAAAAGGGATGTTGTGTTAATGTATTCAGCATTAACGGGAATAAGAGTGAAATCTTCAATTACAAACCATGAGTTTTGTTCAATTCTATTCTCAAAGAATTGCATGTATTTTATGTAAACTGTAGCAGAAATTGTATGACCCTGTAAAATGAAGAAAAGTACAGGTTTTTGAAAGTATTCATTATGTAAAATACTGAAAATGAATGTAAGGAATTCTACAATTTACTTCTTCATCATATAGTTTCATATTAAGAGTAGTTCCTCGATGTGGAGTATATTGTTTCCACTTCTTCGTAATTTTAACCCTAATTTTCCAATCAGTAGTACACGGATTTAAATCAGATATAGTATCGTAAGTAGAAATCATGACGGTATTATATATCAAAGTTCTTGCAAATGGCTGACAAATTTTACACAACAGAATATTTATATAAGGGATAACTTCTTTGATAGGGTATTCAAGTAAATAATATCTAATATGTATAAGGGAAACTAACTAATAGAGATATATTCGGGATATACATAGTCGATATCTTCGTGCAATATATATTGAAATCTAAAATAACCATAAATATAATTCAAAAATGTTTTTAATAATTCATATTAATTAATTCACATAATATAAATCTTTTTTAATTAATGTTTAAATATTGTATACTTGACTAACTTTGATTAATTTATGTTTGTTTACATATGAGGCTGATATGAAGTGATCAGGATATTAGTCTGTCAAAAACTCAATTACATATAACGAAAATAAGTAACCTACGACTATATAAACAAATTATACGTAGATATATATATATCAAAGTAACATATGAGCTGTGTGAAAAAAATCATATATCCAAATTGAGTAACCAATACAACGTAAGAAAATGTATTAGGGGGAATAGTATATAAATATCAAATAATAGACCAAATTGCTGACAACAGAACATATCAGGATCATTTGCACCAACACGACATCAATAGCTTTCCTTGCAACTTCCTGAATACATTACAAATCCATCACACACGTTAATTAAAAAATCATACTAAGCAAACGTAGATATTGGTCAAGTTATAACTTACCAGTAATGTTGAAACTATATCTTCTGGAACACTTCTTTGAATACAACGTTCATTGTTTGTTTCTGAGGTTTACCATCTTTGTCAATAATAAGCACCTTTAACCCATCCTTTGATTTTACTCTAGATAGAGCAACATATAACTGACCATGAGAGAAAACAGGCTTTGGCAGATATAGACCGACGCTTGAAAGTGTCTGACCCTGACTTTTATTTATGGTCATAGTAAAGGCAACAGCCAAAGGAAATTGTCTTCTTCGCATTCTGAATGGAAATTTTCCTTCAGGAGGTGCGACATTCAACCTTGGAATGTAAACTTTCTGACCATGAGTGTCACCAGTTAAAACAATAGCTTCAATGATATGATCAGCTAATTGGGTGATTTGTAGTCTTGTCCCATTGCACAAACCAGCCTTTGGATCTATATTCCTTAATAGCATAACTGGTGTTCCTACTCTTAATCTCAAAGAATGATTAGGAAGACCAGACAACTTTATATTATTCAAGAAATCAGGAGTATATACTCTGCTATCCTGGTTAGATGTATCAGATGGATCTATAGAATCAGAACTTAGATAAGTCTTCTCCTCACCTTGATAATAAAAATTTATAGATATATCAGTATAGTATATCAATATGATTAAAAACTTAAAAACTAACTGAATTAAACGATAAACAATGGTAATTGTGTTTACCTGTCAACATAGAAAGCATGTAATCGTTGATGAGGCAAACATCGTCATTAGTTGGACACAAAATAGCCATTTCCTGGTAAAATTGAAGATCGGATTGCTCTTCAAAACTTAAACCATAAACTTCCTCGACAATAGATTTAATGGGATCATCACATTCTTTTATTAGAAGCTCATCAGGAATGTCGATCATAACTTCTCCGGTGTTTGGTAGATTAATTTTACCATCGCGAACTTTAAGAATCCATTCTGAAAATGATTTGATTTCCTCTGCTATGTTTTCATCAAGATTAGCCAAAAGCCTCATGTTTTTTGTAAGCTTGAGCACCTTACAATCATCCCATAAATATGACGAATTAATAGAAGCCATAACAATGTCTTCCCTTCCTCCACCACTAATAACTGGCAAAATTTGTCTAAAATCACCACCAAACACAACAACTTTTCCTCCAAATGGTTTATCCTTATGACGCTTAATAATGTCACGCATAGTACAATCCAAACTTTCAAAACAATATCTACTCATCATAGGTGCCTCGTCGCATATGATAAGAGATGACTCAGCAACCAAATTTCCTAAATCTGTTCCAGGTTGAATATTGCAAGTAGTGTCATCATCTGGATTTATTGGTATACCGAAACGGGAATGTGCGGTTCTACCACCAGGCAATAACAAAGATGTTATTCCACTACTTGCAACATTCAAAATGATTTCACCTCTAGCACGAACAGCAGCAGATAGTAGTTTCCATAAATGAGTTTTTCCAGTACCACCAAACCCATATAAGAAAAATACTCTTCCTTTATCTTCTGTGACAGCTTCCATGATCTCTTTGTAGACATTCATCTGCTCGTCAGTTAAACCAGGAACCATTCTTTCTACGATAGCCTTCATTTCTTCTCTATCATAGTTTCTTTCATCGTATATTACCCTATTGATACCAGCTGTGTTATAATCACCCTCTGGCAAAGGCATTCCATCATAATTTGAAAGAGAACAACCATTGCTTCGCAATATAGTCTCACTTGCATCCAATGTGTAATTTTTGAGCTATTCATCAGAGAGGTCCAGTTCTGCGAAATGATCACATCATATGTATTGAAATCGAATACTTCATATTCACATAAAGTATTATGGTATACATAACATATATAGTTATAGAAAGATTTTTAAAAATAAAAGAAATACCTGGATTGTTTTCAAATAATCTTCTTCTGTAAAGAATATCATCAGATAGCAAATTCCAAGTTTCTTCCCAAACTCCAAATGGATTAATTAGGCTATCAGTCAATAGCATAACACAGAACAGTTTTTGAAGAAAGTCACCAGAACCCCACATGCTTGCTTCATTAATCCCATCTATATATTCTCTATCATCATCTAGTAAACCCAATGCATAACATGCATCTTTGTATGTAGGATGTAAAACACCATCAACTGTCTTCAAATCATCAAACCCCTTAGGACATTAATGTCGGTTGAGTAGAACACAAAGATAGTACAATTGGCCACATTTCAGAGGTACATAGGTTATTCTACCAACAGCTAACCTATTTTTCTGTTGCCTTGTTTTCCATTCAATATTTGTACGATCATAAACAAACATTGTAGGAAACTCAGCATATGTTAGGTTTTCAGCTTCTGGATACTTATTGCAAGCTTCAAAAAATGCTAATAACATTGAGCTCTGTACTGACCTGCGATTTAGAACAGTTTCAACTGGATCATCATCATCAAAAAGTACTGATTGCTCGTTTTCTAGATGAAAATAGAGTTTCTCCACTGGAGTTATCCTAAAATGGATTAGAAATGCTAGCAAATGCCATGTAGCTTCGCATGCAGAAACATATCTACATAACAATAAATCAGTAGAGATTTAGTATGTAATCAACACTAATGCAACTTATAAGACATGCCTACAATCTCTATCAAATTAAATATTACCTGCAATCGAAGAAGTCCTTAATTTCATCAGTAGTATCCTCGCCGTTTTCATCTACATTGGCGCATGCTACAGAATCTGCGCCTTGATTTAAATCATTTTCAATAGTAGCTAGAACACGATCAGGTCCTTTGTTGATATATTTGAAAAGGTATTTGATTGACCTTGCCTGAGTACACCATTCAACATTGATGTGAGCTCTATATCGCAATGATAGCTCTCTATTATAAGGCACAACAAAACTGTTGTCAATTTTTAGACCATTCTTCTCAACAAATGCGCCAGTCTTCCTTCTCATATAATGTGGAAAGCCTCTGTTGTCAATGGTAGTTCTTTCACAATATTTCTTTGGAAACTGCTTAGAACACTTCCCATTGATCATACATGGACTACTTTTGTTAATCACTCCGCAAGGTCCATGTATCATGTTTTGCTTCACTACTTCATACAAAGAAGGATCAGTATCTTTGTCAGGAATCTTAGCAGAAATAACCTTATCAATAGATTCAGCATTAGACAATTTGCTTTTTTCAGCCATCCATAGTAGGATATGTGCATGTGGAAGACCTCTTTTTTTGGAATTCAATAGTATACATACCTGTTAATATAAAACAAACCAATCAGGATTACCATAACAATATAAATCAAAGTATAAATACAAAGATTACAAATATAAATTTAACATACCACAAACACTTTTTCCGAAAATGTTCTTTTCAGTGAGATCACTCATGAGGCTGTCTAGCTTAATTTTGAATATCCTACAGAAGATATCTGGTCTATCTTCAGGATTCAAATTTCGCTTCTTTGTATATCTAATTATCTCAGGCCAGTTTGGATTGCAGGTGAAAGTTATAAAAAGATCAGGAAATCCAAAGTGCTTACAGATTGCCATTGCATCCAAATAGTTATTGTTCATATAGCGTGAACCACCGGTAAATGATGCAGGTATCAAAATTCTCTTACCTCTGTTGGATAAATCAGAGTTTCCTTCATTTTCAGCCTCAACCAGATTCATATACTTGTCTAAATGAAGCTTCTTCTGATTATTCCTGAAATATCGAAGTCGGCTAGACTTTATCATAGTACATCAACCAGAAACTGTTGATACAGTCGTTTAGACCGAATTACGGACTGAGATTCCATTAACCTATCTTGAATCCTATAAGCATAGAATTCTCGCATGCTTATAGTTTTCCGTTTCCATTTGTTGCCGTCATCAAAACCGTCTTCAATGCCAACGGTGAATCCATCCTCACCATATGGCAATAATAATGGATACTGAAGAGCTAGATAACCCACATAGAGTTCACTAATTCTTCTGAGGTTTCCGTGTGTAGTCTCTAATACAATATCTCGTAAATCCATTCCTTCTTGAAAATCTCCCGGAATCAATGCTGCAACTTCTGTGGAAGTTGGCATGTTATGTGTTCTAGCATCTTTATTCCTGTTAGCAATGCGAACTAACTTGACGTTGTCTTCTGGTTGTTGAATATTGTATCTGTCTTTGTAGGAATGTAAAGCTTTCACCATTGGATTACAAAAGTTTAACATCTTCATGAGACATTCAATTAACGCCGGCCTTAACTTGGTCGAGCTAGGGACATTCTTGCTGAAATAGAAGAAAGTGCATAATTAAATGTAATGTATGATAAACATATTAACCATCAGTAAAAAATAATGTTAATGGATATTAAAATAGTGCGTACAGTGTATACCTGATTGATTTCTCTCTGTTGGTTATCTCATTAGCTGTATCATGGATATACAACTGACAGAACTTTGGTTTCTCTTTCCTCTTAAGATTCAAAGAACCAATTAAGTGATAATTTTCACCATGTAGTTGGAATACGGGTGGACCACGACCCTTGTTTATATCGTAATTTATCTTTCCACCAATAGATTTAAAAGAAAACATCATGTTGTAAGCTCTGATATTTTCACGAAAATGGCGACAAATTTCATCATCACTTGAGAAGAAATATATCAAAAATGGAGGAGGTTGGTTAAGTAAGGGTAGCTTCACTTTCCCCTGCGAACAACATATAGTAAATTTATATGTTGCACTCTTCTTCTTTTTCTGAATTCGTTCATTAAACGACATCCTTGCTTTGCAGTGTATGCATTCATACATCGGATCTCCATCATCATAATATCCTGAGGTAATACAACATTCGACATAATTAAACATTTAGTCCTGATAAGAATATAACTGAAAAAGTATCGATAGAAGTGTAATGTAAGAGACATAACCATTTTCCAATATAACAGGTTTACGTTCATGATCATAATCATCTGCTATAGTATCAGTTCCATGAGGTCTTTCGTTAAACTTAATCCCTTTCATTAAACGTGTTCTGTTATGTCTAGCCTTTCGCTGTCTCTCGAACAAAGATTTAGATAGTTGATTATTTCTTTGTCTATCAATGATTTTGTCAACAGAAGAGTTCCACCACATAATGACTTAGATTGATAGTTAAGATTACATTAATATGAATTCAACGATAAGAAAAATTAAAACTAAGGGAAAAAACTGATAATTTGAATAGGATAAGGATACATGACTTCTCTATTCCTTCAACAGTGTGTGAGCTTGTTGCATTCCTGTTTGTATTTTCTGGTGAAAACATATAACAATAAATATTAAATTTAAACAAATGTTATATTTTAATTAAGATACATAATTTAGATATTAATACAAATCAGTAATCTTACTGGGACCGATATGTACTGGTTTAGGAAGATCAGAATGAAGCGGTTGTGAAGCAGGATTTGTTCGAGACTTAATAACAACAGATGGTGGCGTCGCATATGTTTGATTCGAGGTTGTCAATTCAAATATATTACTATCATTTGATGTAAGGATCCCATCTGATAATACAATTCAAAAACAAACAATGAGTTAATAATTTTAATAGATTAAATGTTACAAATTCATTATACTATTAATAAATGAAATTATTCTTACTTGGCTGTAAAGGTACAGATTTAGGAATACCAGAATCTAGCCTCCGTGAATTAGGAATTCTTCGAGCTTTGCTAACAACAGATGGGGGTGTCGCATACGTAATATTAGAGGTAGTGGTTTCTTGTCTATTAGTATCACTTGATGATTGGATACCAGTACCATGAATATTGTTGCTTGCTAGGTTTAGATCAGGAATCGTTGTATTACGTTTTGCAATTGTAGGCGGTGAAAATTGAGTTTCAGATAAAATTCTACCAAACCTAAGGCCTGAAAAACAAATATATATGTTAACATTGAATGTGTAAACATATTTGCTTAATATATGTAAAAGCAAGAAATAAAAAATGGTAGTTGAGATATAGGTAACCCCGTTTCTTCAGAAGATGGTGAGCATTGCAAAGGTCTCTTTATAGGTGGCATGTTTTATTTTTCTAAACTTGGTAATGCTACATGAAGGAAAAAATGAAGAACACACATAAAACATATAAGATAATTCATAAAACGATTTGTAAAATAAAACATAGTTCACATACACTGTTGATTTTTAGGTGTGTTTGACCGTATAGATAAACAACCAGGGTTGCTGACATCTCTAAGAATTTCATCTATGTAAATAAACAAATAAAACAACACAATTTTAAAATAATGTGAAGTATAAAAATATTGATTAAAACAAATAATAAATAAAAACTCACTTGAAATAGATATGTCTGATGTAATCCGAGTTGAACTCCTCACAAAATCATTTGAATTGCTTAAATCTCTAAAAATCATATCAAATGCACCAGAAATAGGCTTTGTTGATTGTGTTTGGCTGGTAGATGCGGTCTTCTGTTTTTTTTTTTAGTTTGGTTCTCATCATTTTCGTATCCATGCCGATTTTTCTTTGAACTATGCATTGCATAAGAAAGTGAACATACATGCAAATAGAGGTAACCGTGAAGACAAAGAACGTTATGAAGCGGAAAAATTTATTTATATGAATTAAGAGTTGTTTGTTATATAATTCAAACTAAATGTGATCCCATATGAATAGGAAAAAAAATATTCTACATTTAAATTCATATATCTAAATCCACAAATATAGATAATAAATATAGAGAAAGAATCAATTTATATAAATTAATAGTTGTTTGTTATAACATTCAAACTAAATGTGATCCCTTATGAATAGGAGAACAAATATTCTACATTTAAATTCATATATCTAAATCCACAAATATAGATAATAAATATAGAGAAAGAATCAATTTAGTTACAAATTGCCAAACTTAAAAGGATAAATATAGTTAAGTAATGTACATTATCCATATACGTGATTATTGATGACTTTGTTTTCGGTTAGTAGTTATACGTATCATTGGATGTATAGATTCGTATAAGTATATTTAATTTGTTACAAATTTAGAAAATTTCCATTTAGAAATAAATAATATAGAATACATAAAAAAATTGATTATAAGCTAATTATGTTTGAATACTATTTAATATATCAGTGATATCATTTGAATGATGATCATACGATGTTTAAAGACAAATTATGAAATTACTAAAACAATTTCATAGATAAACAAAATAACTATCAGTAATGAACGAAATCAAAATATTAATAAATAATAACCATCCGATTACAAAATTTTAATCAAGAAGCAAAGTTGAATAAAAAATCATGATAAAAGAAACAATCATTCAGACGGATAAACGCATAACAAAGTAGTTCCAATAACTGATTTCGGTTTTGAAATCATGGCTTCTCTGTTTTCACCGTCTTAAGGGGTAGAGTACTTGGATTAGTCTGAACAGTTTTCTCATCCTTACACTTCTTCTTTGCAGCTGAATACTCATTAGTATCCTTAATCACTTCCAACTTTTCATTGCTTTTGCGTTTAGAAGTAGGTGTAATTTCAGCATCATCATCATCCATAATCATTAGAGGAACCTATAACATATTAATTATAGCCATGGTAACACATTTGACAACCTTTGAAAGTGAATAATGATATTAGAATCAAATATATGTTATAAAAGCAAGAACTGACATAATATATAATTACCTCAGAAGCAGCAATAATCTCGCTAATAGTCCTTCGAGGACTATGCAAGAAGAAATCGTCCCTTACTGATACAGAATTGACAATAGTCAACTGATTTGGATGGGTATAGGTCAGGGTTAAACCATCTTTTGGCAATCTGTATAGATCAGATTACATAATTATTAGAATATAAAACTTGAAAAGTAAATAAAATCATGGAGATAATTAGTTTTACCTCTCTTTAAAAGCCAAACTTTCTAGGAAGACTGGATCAGTAATGACCATTGAACAGTTGTAGCAATTGCCAACACTCCAAACACCTTGATAAAGTTTTAACTTTCCAAACCGCAAAACAGCAATGATCACAGCATCATTTGCATGTTGAGCCACACTTTCAAGATTTTCAGCGAATTGACCCCAAAGAACACAATTAAGTCGAACATTTCTACATTAAAAATGATAAATAAATTGAGGAAAAAGGATACTGAACACAAATAGTAAAGATATAGAACATTAGTGATAGATTAGTAATGTAAATACTAACTATGTATCACGGATCTCCATAGTAAGCATCTTTGTCTGTCTCTTTCCAACATTCAAGATCTCCACATCCCCAATGCTCACAATTTGTCCAATAGCATCTGAGGTAAAAAAAAAAAATCATGTTAGTACTTTATAATTGCGCAAACAAACTATATAATTTAGTAATTAAAAAAACTTGCCTATCAAGAAATCTGGATTCATTTTGCCTTCGTGAATATCACTAAACTTGACGAACTTGAAACCTAAGATTCTTGGATCCATTTCTTCTGCCGGTTTGACAGATGTTGTTGATGCAAAAAGGATTTTGTAAACGTGAGGGCTGGTCCTGAACTTACCACCGTTATGAGCCACTTGAAAATTTGTGATAATTCTAGAGGCACTTTCCTCTAACAGATTTTCATTTTTCTTGATGAACTCCTTCTTCAAAGTTACATGCATGGTTTGATTCTGTGTATATATAAAAGACTATGAATGCTTTAAAGATACATAGGTTTGTATGAAACTGAAAATAAATGAAAACAGTCGTGAAATATATAGATTAGTACAAATTCTTAAAAGTAACATAGATAGTATACCTTCTCATCAACAACAACCATTTCCAAAGTCTCTACACCATTCAAGTATTGTTTCCACACCTTCAATATCTTCACGTAAACTCTCCATTGAGTTTTGAAGGGCTTCACGGAGTAGAGATCGGTGAAAGAAGACATAATAGCAAGATGAAATTTGAGATTCAGAAATGTATTGAAAGGTGAGGGATGATGAAGTATTGGAGAAATGTACATCTATATATATACGGTATTGAGAGAACATGGTATCGCTAGGTTAAATATTTCAAATTTAGAATTTTCTTCTTGTTAATATAATCCAAGGATCTCGGTTATTCTTCGTTTATGAATAAATATATATCTTCCGCAATTTGAGTTACTAATATGGATGTTTATTTAGTTTAGAAATATAGAATATGCGAAAATATAGATAGTTACTTAAACCGTTTGAAATTTAAATTATTGTTATTAGTAGTTTAGAAAATTTATCTAGGAAGATATCTATGTTTCGAAAATATAGGAACCAAAGAATTCAATTTAGAATATGCGAAAATATAGATACTTACTTAATCCGTTTGAAGTTTAAAATATTGTTATTAGTTGTTTAGAAAATTTCTCTAAGAAAATATTCACCTTTCGAATTTATAGGAACGAAAGAATTAAATGTCGAATATGCGAAAATATAGGTACTTACTTTATCCGTTTAAAGTTTAAATTATTGTTATAAATTATTAATGAGAATATATTTGACTAAGATTTGTAAAACATGAGCAATCACTACTGATTAAATTTTTTAAAAATAAAATTGTTGATGCTTATATACGAATTAGATAAATGATTAACTAATGTATGAATGCTTATACGCTTTTGAATAATGAATAACGAAATTATAGTGATTATACTTTTCTGTAAATGGTTATTGTAAATTTTATTCATTCAACATGTATAAATAATAGTTAATAAGATAATATATAAATAATACCAAAAAAAAAATTTTCAAACAACTCAATAAAGAGGTAATGGTTGATAAAATTATAAATGGAAATATGCAGTTAATAAAAAATATATGAAGAAGACATATTTGAAAAATTTATTGCAGTTAAATGTGTTTTAGGAAATAACGGTCTGTTTGGCTATAGAGATAGTAGGAGAATTAAAATTAAACGAATTAATAATGTAGCTAAATATCAACTTTAATTCTAGAGCTGCCAAGTGTCCAATAGTGCCTCCACTTTAATATATTAGAGATATATATAAAAAGAGAGCTATTCTCTCTTCTTGTACCGCCAATCAAAATCTGCCATGTGGCGGTAAACGTCGCAGCGCCATAAGAGAGAAAAGCTCTCTTTTTATATATATATACTAGAATTTGATTCATGCTACACGTGGGTTATTTTATAAAAATTTGACTGTATGTAAAATTATCTTTTTTATATCCTTTCTATTAGTTGTTTTTTATTTAATTAGATGTTTTTCTATAATATTTGTTAGTTACGGTTTTTATTATGTTATAATAAAAATTTGAAAGTATAATGAAATATTTTTTTGTTTACTTTTTGACATTTTGTTTTCATTGATGTCGTAATTAGAAATTTGAACCTAATTTGTGTACACAAACTTAGTGAAATAGATATTAACTCTATGAAAACTTTTTCTCTTTTTTCGGTTGCTACCTTTCACCATTAGATGGTTATGAGAGTTTATATACCCTTACGTCTTATATTTTTTATCCTTGGACAGATCATTATCAACGTTAAGAATCTGGTTATATCTTACTTTCACGTTACTTTTTTCTATTATCATCTAAACGGAATATACTTTTAAGAACCAGATTACATCTTCCTTCCATCATTTCCTAACTCTTTTTTTTACTTTGTATCATACATCAATATGCCCCTAAAGACCTATCTTTATACCTCTATATCTTGCTTGTATCCCAAATGTTTTTGGTTTTTTTTATTTATTTTTAATTTTTAATTTAATTTATTTTTCTATTCTCTTTGGTCTATCACTACAAAAATAACATCATAATACATCATTTATTTTATTTATTTGTATTATTTATAACTGATGCAAAAGAATTTTACATCATTTTAAAAAATGATTCTGAAAGTGGTGATGCAAATACTTTATATCAGTTCATTAATAACTGATGTAAATATTTTAAATATTTGCATCAATTAGAATAATTGATATTAATATATGTCAATTATTTTAAGTGATATTAAATTTTATATCAGTTATTATAAATGATATTAATATTTGTATCAATTATAAATAATTGATGTTAAAAATGCTATTTTGGTATAAATTTTAATTTATTTTTAAAATTTATATAAAATCCGTTTTGTTTTTTTATTAATATAAATATATTTTGTGAACTCTCATACAATAATTAACTAGAATTATTATTAAGGCCTAGTAG